TCTTGTGAGTCACCTGATGCCCACAAACAGGAGAATTTGGTGTGTTGTGATTGTGACATGGCTTGAATTGTCTGCACTCTGGTAGATGAAGTATGTCTTACTCATAGACATAATTTTATTGAGAATTATCCTTTCCAAAATGAGACAAAACTTGAAGCAGTATGTACATGGCTAACTCTAAAGTAAAAACTCTTTGAATGGCTATTACCAAATGTTTTATTTTTATAGCTACTTTAGAATTGCTTTAGAATTGTCATTATACCAACCTAGGTTAAAGCAAGATTGATGTTCATTAGTTAGACTTAATGCATGTTAAAACTGGAGGTAATGGAGCATTTATCAAGAGGCCAACCCTCTCTCTAAAAATCCTTCTACTTTGCTCTTTATGCCTTTAGGCAACGTACAACCTTTTCCTACAACACTCTGCCTAGTGCTGTGTTCTAAATATAAAACAATGATAATTATTGCTTTACAGTGCTGCCCGTTACAGTTTATGTTTATAAATTGTTCTTATTGCCAAATCATTTAAGGTTGGTTAACCTTTTTGGTTTAATTTCTAAACTACATGATACTTAATTTAATTATCCTTGCTATATATAAAAATTCAAACCATTATGGGCAGATTTGTAGCAGCAGCCATATTATACTAGATCTTCATTAACCTAAGTTAATAATGGCTTCTCGCTGATGGAAAGTATCCCTTCTGGTCATTTTTTCCTCCTGAATATGGGATATTTTTTGGAATGGATGCTAAGCAGAGGAGGATTTGAGAGGAAAGAACAAAGGTTTAATGATGGAAGGGTTTCGGTAATGAGGAATGGGTTCAAGAATTATGTTAGAAATCTCTGAGCCATTGAAAGTCTGATCTAAACCCATTTCCAATTTTAACCCATCTTATAATGACTCACAACCAGTTCCCTCATCTGTTAGTGTCCCTCCTTTCCTCTTTCCCACAAACCACAAAGCAACCAAGTTGTGAGCAGGAGGTGGTAAAAGATGAGAGTAATTTACTTCCTATGCTTGGCAATATTTTTTTTTTACTATGTTTGGATCTGTATTGCTATAGTGTGAACCCTATTAGGTGGGAAAAATTTGGATAGTTTGGATCCTTTCTTTTCTTTTCTATGCATTCATTAATAAGACTGAAAACAACCTGAGTAACAGAATGTTTATAGATTATTTATGTTGACTGGAGACTGCAGGCCAGACAATAAATCCAGGGTCATTCCAGAGCAGGAATTCTCTGGACTGGCCTTGGAGGTGGCCATATTCACCCTGTTTAATCTCTTATGGTGGAGAGTGGGATCCACACAGTCCAGCTGGGTTGGTATACTACATTGACCCTGGCACATCTGCTGATGTGAGAACAGAGCACCTGCAATGGCCAGAGCTCACACATGCCCGTTCTACACTGTCCTTATATCCCAAGATCTGATCCTAGGTTATCTGCTTTGAACTAGATTATATGAATCTCCACTGTCATATAATCTGGGATAAGCAGATAATCTGGGATCAAATCCTGGGATATAAAGACAGTGTAGAAGGGGCCACAGAGCTCTGTCACCAGGTGGCAGCAGTGACAGTAACATGGAAGGTGAGATAACAGTCCACTGGGGTTGCCGGGGTGTTGGCCTGGCTAGACCATGTGGCTGGAAACCCATTATTTCAGTGGATTTGGCAGGCTGTGTGTGGCCACCACCAGATTGGCCCTGGATCTATCTGGCCAGTGTAGATTCACATGATATTCAACTGATGTGGGGGCAAAAAAAGCCAATGGGATTTTGGCCTGCATCAATAGGAGAATAGTGTCTAGATCTAGGGAAGTAATGCTACCCCTCTATTCCGCTTTGGTTAGCCCACACCTGGAATATTGTGTCCAATTCTGGGCACCACAATTCAAGAGAGATATTGACAAGCTGGAATGTGTCCAGAGGAGGGCGACTAAAATGATCAAGGGTCTGGAGAACAAGCCCTATGAGGAGCGGCTTAAGGAGCTGGGCATGTTTAGCATGAAGAAGAGAAGGCTGAGAGGAGATATGATAGCCATGTATAAATATGTGAGAGGAAGCCACAGGGAGGAGGGAGCAAGCTTGTTTTCTGCTTCCCTGGAGACTAGGACGCGGAACAATGGCTTCAAACTACAAGAGAGGAGATTCCATCTGAACAGAGGAAGAACTTCCTGACTGTGAGAGCCGTTCAGCAGTGGAACTCTCTGCTCGGAGTGTGGTGGAGGCTCCTTCTTTGGAAGCTTTTAAACAGAGGCTGGATGGCCATCTGTCAGGGGTGATTTGAATGCAATATTCCTGCTTCTTGGCAGGGGGTTGGACTGGATGGCCCATGAGGTCTCTTCCAACTCTTTGATTCTATGATTCTACTTATAGACTCATAAAATAAAGCAAAATTTACATAAGTGTTGTTTTGCCTTCCAAAAATTGAATTTAGGCCTGTACTCACTGATTGGCATCTTTTTCTAGATATGTGGAGGTGTGAATCCAATTTATACCAGCATATATCTTTTTTTTGGAATGGAATGGTTGCTTTTCTCTTTCACCTTCTACATCAACCAAAGCTCACCAATACTATTCAGCTATAGCAATGCTCTGCTCCACCACAGCCATTCCGTGGTTGGTGAAGAGTGGGTGAAGTGGCTAAGAGCACTACAT